CTGCTCAGCTGGCTGAGCCCACCCTTCCTCCCTCCCCCGACGACGATGACAACACACCTACGGCTTCCTTCTCCTTCTGGATGTAAATATAGAAATCGAGCCAGGGTGCAAAATATTTTGTGAAATACAGACTTTTTAACTGGGGTAGCCCTCGTGTTTGTCTGGGAGTGGGCCGGAGAAAGGAGCGCAGGGCAGCCCTCCTCTTTGGCACTGGACTGGGGTGGAAAGGAGCTTGCTTCAGAGGGGGCTCTGGCCCCTCCGTCCGGCCGGGCCCCCTGCACGACATCCCCTCGGCCTGGCGGTGGCGATGCTGGGGTGGCCACCCTCCTGCAGAACGAGGGCGAAAGGTCTGGAAAGGGCTTCCTCTTCCACTGGTGCTGCAGCCCCTGCTAAGGGCAGACTTCTGAGCAAAGGAACCCCCTTTTCTGAGGAGGAGAGGGCAGCCACAGCGGCGGGGGCGGTGGGGGAAGTGTACCTTTTTGCCCCCTTCTCGCATTTTTGCCCCTGCCCATCATGCCACACAGTAGCCACACCGCTTGGCTCTCTCTCTGCCCCAGGAATGAGAATGCCCCGTGGGCACCGGCCAGGCCAGAGGGCAGCTTTGTTTATTATTATTATTTTTTTCAGAGGTTTGGGCAGTTTCCTGGGTCGTAGGGCATTGGCTGGTCCAGATACTCCGTGATGGGGGTTGTGAACGTGGCACACTTTCTGAAGGGCATGTCGCTTGTCCGGATAGCGGAGACACCCTAGGGAGAGGCAGAGAGGAAGAGAAAAGGAGTGTTTTCGTTGGGGTTGGGGGTTCCTGAGGGCCAGGATGGCCTCTGTCCGCTGGAGGCATTGCAGGCTCTTCGGCTCTGCCCGCCGGGTGGGGACACGCTAGCCCAGAACATTCCCTGGCATGTGGAAGCAGCAGGTCCTGGGAAGATTGAGGACGGGAAGCCGGAAGCCAGTGGGCAGAATGTGCGCCCCAGTCCCTTTTTCAGCTCCGTCCAAAGCCCTTTGAAGGGCAGAGCTGCTCTTTCAAGAGGGGGGGGAGGGGGCGTCACTCACAGGCACCTGGCGGGCGTGCTCCGTCCAGAAGGTGCGTGGCTGCTCCAGGCGATAGTCGTGTGGCTGTGGAGGGCAGAAGTCGCACGGCAGTCTAGCAGTTTGAGTGGGGGGGGAGCACACACAAAGGGGAGGGGGGCATGGCTGGTGACAGAAGGGGATGGAGCAGGTTCAGGCTGCCAAAGGACTTCTCACCTTGGTGGGGGCGGGGGGAACAGAGAGAAAGCCCTCCCGGCCATAGTCTTGGCGTGTGACGGACTTGGCGTCCATGGGCGGGTGGGAGGTGGCCACCTGCTCCTCAAACACGTCCTTGCTGTAGAGAAACAAACCAGAAGAGTGTGGCAAAAGGGGCAGGACGTTTCTGTGCATTCTGTGGGTGTGCAGGGGTGTGTGTGTGTGTGGGTTCTTGTGGCCGAGACACTCCCTCGCAGACCTCAAGAGAGCTCCTGGGTACGGCCAGGTTTGCAGGGACTGGCAGCACCGAGGAGACGTCAAAGGCAGGGGAGGGGAAAGGGGGCCCTTGGAGCAGCAGGCTCAGATCATGGTCACCCCGGGGGGGGGGGCTGGGCCTGTGGAGCATCCCCAGTCCAGCCCACTGAAGCCCCTCCGGAGACGTGGGGCAGCCCACAGGCGTGAGGCCAAAGACAACTGGTGTCCCTGCCCGTCTGATGGGAGCCTTGTCTTCCACTCTTCTGGAGGCAAAAGGGCCTAATTCGCGACCAGCTGGCCTGATCTTTGCCAAACCATCCACTGTGGGCAGGCGTGAACGTCCACACTCTCTCTCCCTGAGGAGTTTCACCAGCAATGGAGGGGAGATGGAAGGAGGGTCAGCTTCACAACCGAGGGTGGCTAGAGCCAAAGGCAGAGGAGACCTTTTCTGCTCAACCCTGGCATCATCCCCACGGCTTTCTTACCTAGCCGACCTCCTCCCCTTATGGCAGATAAGCTTCGCTCTGCAGCCCGCCACCCAAATCTCTCTCGGGACTGAAGGAGGCGGTTGTGGCTGGGCTGGCCAGCAAGCTATGCCCTGCGGTGGATGGACAGACCTCCCCTCCAGGCCCGGCTGCCGGGAAGGGCCTTTCAGCCACTTGGATGCCTGCCCGCTGAGCCATGACTGACGAGGTTTTCCCTTTCTGTTTTGGCTGGAGGGGCAGGTGGGCCCACGTGCACCTTCTTCCTCCTCCTCTTTTCCTGGCATTTATTTCCCAGCTTTGTGGTGCAATCAAATGGAAGTGCTCAAGGTAAGCCTGTAGCATCCCAGGCACATGGGTGTTTGTGTGCGTGTGCGTGTGCGACTTTCAATCTTCACCCCCTGAAAGACCACCCGAGGGTCTGCAGCCCCAGGAGGAGGCAGGGGCTGTGCAGTGTTCCTGGGTCCGCCGCCCCATCCCGCTGCAGGGGCCACACACCTTCAGAGCCCACAAAGCCCCTGGTGCAGGGAGGGCCTCCTTCTCCTCCTCCCTCTCACAGCACACCCTTCCACCTGGCTGGGAGGCGCCGTGGCTGCTGCACATGATGGGGCCCCACCTGCTCTGTGGACCCACGAGACCACAGGGTTACCATAGTTTCTCATCTCCAAACTCTCCTGGGCTGCAACCTGTTGCCCCCCCCTTACAGGACACCCATTCCTAATCTCTGTGGCAGTGCACATTTTTTTTGGCTTCCCCAGTGCTTGGCTGTAGCAGCCTGTGGCACAAGGGAGAGACCCTGGAAGCCTGGTCACCTCTCCACCCCACCCACCCCCTTGCCCAGGAATGTCCTGGAATGAGCCTGTTTGTCTTGGCCAGCTGAGGT